GTACGTTGCGTTTTGCTGCACTAATACTAACGCTTGATGTCCTTACAAGGAAAGCAAGATTCCTCTCTCTACAAAGAGAGAAATAAGCCTAAAAAGATGAGTTTGGGGTTACTGGATTAACTGGCAGCACAACTGACACACAGATATGGAAAGACTTTGTGCTAAATCTAGTTCACCAGGGCTTATCAAAGTTTTTTTCAGACTTAAAAAACTTTTCCCAGTAGAGGTGCAGATGCCATCCCGTGAATTTAAAGCCTAGTAGAAATAAAATAAAAATTAAACTTTCCCTTGAGGCTGTCTGCCACAAGTGGAAAAACTGTACAGCTTACATTGCCACAAGTGGAAAAACTGTGTGTAGCTTACATTGTTCCTGCTGCGTTTTTGGGAATTGTTCAAATATTGGGGTATGCAATTGAAAATGCCCTTTGACAAATGAGTTAGACTAGACTCAGGTTGTAATTCTTGTAAGGTTTTTTTATGGTTAACCTAACAGATTGCTCATTGTTATAACCAGTAAAAACCCCCCAGTTCATCCTGCTGTATCTAATGTGCTAGCTGACTTTTAACGTGATACCTTTTTGCAGTGTAGATGTTGCTATTGTACGTTCTCTGCACAAGCTCTTTCACCTATTGGCATGTTCTGAAGAAATTACTAATGTGCAGAAAATAGGAGTGTGTTTGTCTCTAGGAAAGCATCGGAAAATACTTTGAGAGTAGAGCCCTTTTGAGTCTCCGTTTTTCAAGACAGGCTTATAAAATGACAGCCCCTCCCCGGCCACTTGGGAACAGTGACCCGCAACTGGAGTACCATTCATTTCCTAGGGAACTTAGCACCTCCTTAAATAGAGAGGAAATGAGGTAAGGCAGAAGACAAGCATCAGATTCTCTTTCCTAATGGAGGGACTACATGGTTGAGGGGAGATGAGGAGTCAAAGATGCTTGTGTGCCTTGTTTGGTGTTTTTTTTATTTTTTCTTTTTCCCCCAGTGCACTGTGTAAAACTAAGGTAGGCATACCCATTCTAATTCAATTCTAATGGTCATATCCATTCTAATATTCTAACATGCTCTTGAGTTCGAGAGTGCTGTTGCACTACAGCCCCTGTTCCTATCTGTATTGGCAAAAATGCGTCTGAAGTTGAAACCTTCAAAGACGGTCAATTTGTGAAGCTACTGTTACAATTTTAATATATCATTGAACATTGTTGCTGTTAGTGTTTGATGGAATACAGTTAACTTGAAAAAAAGATAGAGTTGTGATTTTATTACTGCTCTGTTTCCGTTCCATGTCCGTGTCTTCCTTATTCGATTGACGGTAGGTGTTCTTTTAGGCTCCTTTGTAACTGTTATGTGAAGAGTACACACATGCATGATGACTGTGTTTTTTGTTAAGGATGGGGAGAAATCACCTTTTGGTGAAATGCAGCATCATTCTGCATAATGAATACCTTCCTCAAGGGGCTTGGGAATTTGTTTAGGATCTGGAAGCAGGTGTTAGCTTTCATGGACTAATGCTCTGATTCTGATTACAAATTATTTTAAGAGTATCTTTTTCCCCTAGATGATATACTGTGTTAGTTTTGTCTTGCTTTAGGTACACTTAATAAAGGACTTGTTTTATCTATGATGCACTGGTTTTCCTCCTGAGCACATCATCTTCATTTAATGCCAGATCTGTGATTGTTTTCTTGTAATCGTCATCATTTACCTTCTCTAAGGACTCTGGTATGGTTTCATCAGTTGACAATGAAGAGAAAAACACTAACAAATGTGTTCATTTTTTTAGTTCAGTTAGGGTTTTCCTTGAGCTCATGTGATGTAGGAGGGTCAGACATATGGCTTCTTGAAAGTGGGTCTTTAATTTTAACAGCGATGTCAGCTCAAAAGGATCGAACTGGAAAACAGTGCTTTACTTAGTAGTTATTAAGGATGTCCTGCTGTCAAGGTATCCATGCTGTTGGATGAGGATGAATTCACCCTGCTGCTTACCCTTTTATCCTCACAGGTAACTTGTCACTGATGTGATGTTTTTCCAGTTTAATTGTTCACCTGGCCGTACTAGCCTGAGTTAACTACTGACTGACTTAGTTCACTTGACTGTGCCTCAGATAGGCATTCATGGTGGAGACAGCTATTTCTAGGCAAAGCTAAAATGCCACAGAAGTGAGCAGCTGTGGAGCAGAAGAGGGTACTGAACCAAAGTCGATTATGTGAGACACATTCTTATTTAAACTTTACCAGAATTCAGGATAAAACACCTATTCCTGTTTTTGTCACTGCTGATGTTTCC